GTTGCAGATAGGCTGACAGAAGAAGGAAGCCAAGGCCACGGAGCTGAGCTCCAACCAGAAAAGGCCAGGACTGGTGGCTTTGGGTGGATGAGACTGGAAAGAGGAACAACTCTGGGTGCAGCATAAGAATCAGGACTAAATATGAGTTTGTGCTGTGACCTTTATGTGGGACTTTGAAAATTGGTTGAATGATTTCTGTTGTTGCAGATAGGCTGACAGAAGAAGGAAGCCAAGGCCACGGAGCTGAGCTCCAACCAGAAAAGGCCAGGACTGGTGGCTTTGGGTGGATGAGACTGGAAAGAGGAACAACTCTGGGTGCAGCATAAGAATCAGGACTAAATATGAGTTTGTGCTGTGACCTTTATGTGGGACTTTGAAAATTGGTTGAATGATTTCTGTTCTTAAACCAGCCACAAGGGGAAGTGCTGCTAGTCACGTGCACTTTGTGGAATTCTTAAGGGACCCACAAGAGGGAGCTAACAAAAGCAGGGGGCCTGCAAAAGGACTCCTGGCCAAGAGGGAGTACTCATAGTTGGCAACACATGTACAAGAACAGTTGATAAACAATCCATGAAATGAAATTTATTTGCATAAACTTGGTGAACTGTTACAAATACCATATACAACTATATAATCAACACAGATTTGCAGACATTTAGAAGGATTATATTTATTGACACATTTGGGCCTGATTCACTGCTGCATTACACTGCAGGCTCCCAAGGCACAGCTCCATATCCCCAGAAGGGATGGGGCCTCTGGCAAAGGCCAGGACAGCCAGCACTCAGTGCCACCTGGACCATGACACGCTGCCCTCCCCCGCTCTCAGAGTTGCCCAGAGCGCATGGTGCAGCACTCTGGAGGCAATTTAAAGAAACTGGGGCTCCAGCTGCCCTCACTAACACAGTAGCAACAGTGTTGGCTGGGAGCCCCGAGCCCCTTTGAATCACCAGACCCCAGAGCAACTCTCCCCTTTGCTTCCCCCCCACCCCCATTAGAAGCCTGGGGAGTAATTGGTCACATCTCTAGATCCAGGGTTTTTGTTTTGTTTTTATTTTCTCCACAAAAAAGGAAAATAATGCCTTCAAATGATCAACAGTTCTAGATTTAAGATCCATGTCTCCAGATGATCTGGTCATTTAATCACCATGAATAATTCCACTTTATCTAAGTCTTTCCCTTTTCAAGGTTAATAACTTCCCAGCTGTCAACTCATGTTTGCACATAGTTAAAGTCACATTGAGAACTGTTGATCCCTTGAAGGTGGTATTTCCTTCCTCATGAAAAAAAGAAACCCCAAACTGTAGAAATAACCAAGTATTTTTGAAATAATAGGTTCTTCTTTCTGCATCATCCAGCTAGAGACTGGCACCCAAAAATCAAAAAGGCCTGCTGCAAAATGGGCACAAACACTGATTCCATAGGAAAGATCTGTGCTGGGTCACATCAGTCAGAATTACATTAAAATGGTAAAGGAGTCACTCTAATATCTCTCTGGTTACCTCATCCCTCAGTGTATTATCTGAGCACTCTGTGACAAGCGTGTCAAAGTTTCCTTGCAATGCCATTAACATACGTGGCAAAAAGAGGACAAGGAAGAAATTGGGCGTATAGTGCACCTGTGCATGCCATGGATGCAGACTTTCCAAAACCTATATGCTGGAGGGACTTCTGGGATCCCCTTGCTAAATTTCCATCCCTCACTTGATAAGAGCATTGAGAGGACTTCCCATTACCTGATGCAGTTCACCAGGGATGGATGAGAGTGCTGCAGGGCCCCGGGCAGCGCCGTGGGGCCCCGGGCAGCACAATTTTGCGGGGCCCCACCCTTTGACATGGCACATGTGCGGGGCTTCTGCAAGGGCGGGGCTTGGGGCAGCCGCCCCGCTCCCTGCTGCAACTTAAACCCTGGCCCCACATCAGAGGTCTCATTGTCTCATGCACCCCTGTCACGTTATTGGATTGTGAGGGGAGCAGCCGGGTCACTGCTGCACCCATGGGGGGTGTTCGCCCCAAAAGTGGGACAAAGGAGGCCATGTGAGGGGTCAAACAAAAGCTTCCTTTCTTCTGATTCTGTATCTGCTCTTCATATATCTGTATAATGTCTGTGTGTGGAGTTAGGAATCTGCACTCTGTATGGAGACTGGAAGTCTCTGAATGTGCTTGAGTAATGGGCTAGGAATGTTTGCCTATGGACATGCTAATGAGCGAAGCTCCAGGGAACAATGGGCCTCTGAAGGCCAAAGATACACCTGGCCACTGGCCATGTGACTCCATCCAGCTTGGAAGAAGCCAAGAGGGGGCATAAGTAGCCATGTGGCTGACTCCATGTGGTCTTCAGATCTGCTTCTAACCCCAGATGCGGCCTCGCAGGGAATCACGAGCTGGGAAGAACTGTGGACCCATCCTGCTATAGGATGTGCAACAAGGACTTTTAAGCCATCAGTTATAACATCTCCACTGCGAGCCTGCATTGAGAACTGGGAGATTCGATGCACGCTGCGAACCTGCATCGAGAACTGGGAGATTCGATGCATGTAATGTACAATACTTTAACAACCTTACTCTCATGCTTTTCTGTCTTTTAGTAATAAACCTTTAGATTTTAGATTCTAAAGGATTGACTCAGCGTGATTTGTGGGTAAGATCCAGAGTGTAAATTGATCGGGACCTGTGGCTGGTTTCTTGGAACCAGGAGAACCTGTTCGGGGAAGGTGAGATTGGGTTCTAAAACCCCTCACCTGTGAGCAGGCCTGGGGCTGTTTGGGGCACGGATATAGCTGGGTTGTCAGAGGGGTTTTGCTCGTGAAGCTTCTGGCTGGCCAGACAGGCAGCTGAAGTGCTCTGTGGAACTCGTTTGTGGCCTATTTGGATAGATCTCTAGTCCGGGGCAGTAAGGAGCCCCGAGTTTGAGCAATTCACCCTGAGTGGACACCCTCAGCGGTGCCCAGACCCGGCCCAGTCCATCACAGTCTTACTCATCAAATACTCCTGCAGAGCACATTTCTGCTGTAGGATGCCCAAGATTATGCTATGTCAGTTGTTTGGGGGTGGTTGCACTCTGATGACTTCACAAAGTTTTCATGCTTTCACCTTCATGTCAAGGCTGGCAAGCAGAACATTGTGGCCCTCTATGGATATAGTGACTATATATATATATATGTTTAGGACTAGTTGTGCGCACATTTCTAAACCTGTGCCTTCAGATTTGTTCTTCAGGTTCTATCGCCTCTTTCCTTAGTGATGAAGAAACGTTTTCCTGTAACGGGAAAAAAATGAATGTATTCTGCGGTCATAGTCCCCATCCTTCTTTGAGCACACACATCTCTGTTGCTCAGATAGATTATCAGAAGAAAAGAAGGAACATAGTTTGGGCAGCCCTAGAGTAAGACATTAGCAGCACATCACTGAACCACAGGAAGACAGCTCTCTTGCTAATTCCCATTCTCAGAGCAGAAATGTCTTGGGGAATCATTGGAGGTTTGAGCTGCATGCAGCGTCTCTGTGCACTAAAATAAGGTAGTACGGCCACAAGTGCCAGGCAGTGTTTGAACTAGGCCAGGGACAACCAGTTCAGCCACACAAGACAGGTTATAAGCAGTTGCAGCTGATGGGATGGGTTCTGTGCTCTCCTTCTCCTGTCCATGTCACAGACAGAGACACACTGCTTCTTCATACAGGGGCTGATACAAGACATCCCACTGGGGGTCAGAGCTGTTCACATTCCGGACTGTGAAGCATGCGCTGGTTTTACCCTAAATATAACAACTGGCAGCACTGGAAATGGATACAGATTATTCCCAGAGGCAGTTCATTAGGTAAGGTGTTTTGCCTTTCCCTTCCCAGATAGTCTAATGTTACTGTTTTATTTTATGGAAAACAAACTTACCTCATATTGGTCTGCAATACTCTAGGTTTCAACTATGAAGAGGTCTGGGGAGATTGCGAAGTATATACAGGTAAACTACTTCTTTTTGTTGTTTAGATTTTGACATGGAGGAGAGCTCTCAGCAGCCATTTGGGCTGTATCAAGAGCCTTCTTTTTGTCCTTGAAATCTGCTGCTAAGAGCCACAGCAATGAAGTATAAGGGGATAAGAAAAGCAGAGTTCAGCTCTTTCAACTTAAAACTAAACCTCTTGTTTCTTAAATATGATGCAATATCAAATGAAACAATCACCTGTCTGTAGCTAAATCCTATTTAGTTTACTCGGCTACACATCTGTGTGAAATACAGCTTTGTCTGAACCATTGGGCATTCATTTCCAGCAGGCATTAATTAAATGGTCACAATGCAAAAGCAAATGCATTTCCTCTGTGCAAGACTCTGATAAAAATAGGAAATTATAACATTTTAAGAGATTCCAATCAATGAGACACAGTACAGAATATCACCTAATGGTTTCACAGCTGTGACTCCACAATTAAGATCGAAAGAATGTTTCTTTATAATACTCTAGTTCCATTTCGGTATAGGCTCTGTTGTTCGATAAATATTTAAGATTCATAGTGTCTCCACACTGTACATATTTGTCTTCAGCTTTTTGGATGCAGAATTCCCAATACTGGCCAACTATTCAGAGGCAGAATTGGCTCTAATAGAAATTAATACTTACTTAAATTTACATTTTAGACAAATTATTTGTGTAACAAAATAATAAAAGCCAAGCAGCAGAGACTGTTTCCTCCTTTTTTGTTGCTGCAGTAACAGGTTGTATTACAAGCTAATAATGTGACAGACATTCAGAACAGGTCTTAGGCCAATACATCACACACAGTTGCACTAAACACCCCTAAACACTCCTCATGCTCATCAGCAATGAATTGCTTGCTGATTGAGTTGCGTGCAACCTGGCACACACTAAGGGATTCTCACCCATGCGCAGAATAGCAGCAAATCCTGCTATGTGAGATACTGTGTAAATAATAAATGGAATGGCATTTGTGAAATGCAACTGAGTCAATCTTTTAGTCTGCAGGGACTGCAGTTTTCGAGTGTCACACACACTTCAGAGATATTAGGGGTCTATTCTGCCCTCTAGATAGCTTTTTGTCTATGGCGGGCTGGCAGCTGAAGGAGTCTTAATAACATCAGTATCTTTCACATTTTTATGGCTGTGCTTTCTAAGGGCCAGGACCTCCTGTAAAAGGAAATCCATTGAGACCACCTATTGCAGGACTGGACCCTTTGTGTGGTTAACATATAAATTATAGTGACAGGTTTAAGTTTATTTGGCAAGGATATTATCATCTTGTTACCCACAGGATGCTTCTTTTAGCCATATTTTGAGCCTTTTCCCTAAGGGTACGTCTACACTTGCTCCCTAGTTTGAGCTAGGGATGCAAATGTAGCCGACCGAAATTGCTAATGAAGTGGGGATTTAAATATCCCGTGCTTCATTAGCATGATCTCGCCAGAATGTTACTCCGTTCAACAGCTTATTTGAACCAGGAAGTGCACGCCAGGACGCGTTAGTTCAAACCAAACCCCTTGGTTCGAACTGACATTACTCCTCATTTTTTGAGCAAGTGTAGACGTATATTTTACCTAAAGCAAGAGTTCTTAGTTTAGGGATAGCAACCTTCTAGGGAGGCTGGGAACGGAAGTCAGAGTGTCAAATCTATCTTGTCCTTTTCAAAATGATAGATTGAAGGGAGCGTCCCATATAGAAAATGTTGAAAACCATTGGCCAAAAGTCATGTCATTGATTTAGCTCAGTGTTTCTCAGAATGGTCCACAAAACCACTTTGAGGAACATGCTAACTGGCTGCACTGGTTTGTTTACTTACTGGTGCCACCAGTGGCAGGTATAGGGCAGGGCGAGCGGGGCGGCTGCCCCAGCCCCCGCACTTCAATAGGCCCCGCGCCAGCCTCTCTCACCCTGCCATATATCTGCCGCTGCTGCCCTTACCTGCTGGAGCGGCCTCCACTGCTGCCTTTCGCTGCTAGTCCACAAGCGGCTCCATTAGCCAGGGGCTCGCGCGGCGGCGGTGGCGCGTTGCCAGGGAGGCGAAGGGAGACGCCTGGTCATGGCGCCCAAGTATCCCACTGCTCCACCCTCCGGCCCCACCCAGAGAGAGGCTGGGGGGGTGGGGTTTCTCCCCCGGGGGGGGCCCAGACCCCTT